CAAACTTGAAAAAGGCCTCAATCAACTCTGAAGGTGCATGGAATAACTCAAACCATCTGGTTCTTCATCATAGAAGCAGTTTATTGAAAATCTCTCATCATTGACTAGATCTTCTTTTGTACTTGTCTCAATGATAATTCCAGAAGGTTAGCTTAATAACCTACACAGAAACAGATATGTGATACGAGTCACTACAAAGTGCAACAAAAGTACAAACACCATTGTCAAACATTCACAATTTACACAGTAACTCAACAGCAATGTAAATAAAGAAGCTTGTTATGCAGTTAGAAAGTAAAATGCTAAACTACTAGCTTTAAACACCTTTCAAACATACACACAATATGTAGTCATGAAATAAAAATAAGTCTTTGTCCTACCAGTTGCATCTCAAAGTTGATGAAACATTGTGGCTTTTCAACAGTCTTTCTCCTTTGGTATTTTGAACACCAAAACCCACCAACTTCAGTAGGAGAAGCACATTTACTGCAAACAAAGTTCCCTCTTGCTCCCAGTAATCACACACACCTGGTGGAGTTTGGAGATGTGGAGTTTCAATGACCAATCAGCTACCTTGATTCTCCCAGGTTGCACCATGTGCTCCCAACCAATAGGCTGCACTCATTTTGATCTTCTTTACCAATGATGAATTTATACTTTTTAACCATGTCTCTTTTTTTTCCTTTTTTTTTCTTTCTCTCAAATTCAACTTAACACTGCGTTCAGGTCTTGTTGCTCTGCAGTACTGCTCCGAAACGCTAGTTGGCGGCGGAGAGTTTTAATGTTCCACTGTGTTTAGATTCCTCGCGGCTAGGGTACTACAAGCAATAGCGATTGAAAGAGAGTGGATCATGTTGGAGTTGGAGCTTATTGAGGTGGAAAAACAGTTCACTTTAGTGAAATTACTAAAAATGAAAGGCAGAAATGAGAGAAGACGTCGGAGGAGATGGTACGTGTGGAAATCATAGACAGTGATGGAAATGCGTGAGAAGGTACGTGCGGAAATGCGTAGGAGGAAATGCGATGCTACCAAGCCGACCAATCACCGATCATGCGGTCCGCGTCGTCGCGACGTGTAGTTACATTTTTGAGGAGGTGCACGTCAGGCGACGGCGAAGGGTACGCGCAATGGGACGCGTCTGTGCGTATGCTACGCCGTACCTACTGCGCGCACCCTACGCAGAAGTATAAATTGGCCTTAAGACGACGCAGGGCGTTTAGACAATGGATACGCGTAAGTTCGTTGGAGAGAGTGAGAGAGTGAGTGAGTTGTAGAGAAAGAGAGAGTTACATTCACCAAAACAGTCAGTTAACCTTTCTGAACACCACAAAAACACTTTCTTTATGCTTCTTAGAAGCTCTAAAAGAAGGTAAACTTTCAGAGCATATTTGGTCTGTGTGAGTCGCGGACTCGTTGCTCGGCCCGTTCGGGCCGCGTGTCGATTGGAGGTGCTGTCTTGCGTGCGCGCATCATGTGGAGCGCGGCCGCAGCGTTTTTGCACGGCCCGTCCCGGCGCGTGCATGGGTGGTCGCTTGCGCGTGGCTCCTTTGTTCCGTGGGGAGTCACATGGCGTTCGTTGGCATTCAGCGCGAGTGTTTGAAAGGCTTAAAGTCTTTGAGGTGACGTTACCCGAGGAAATAGTTCGGCAAAGTCCACTTACTTTCCTGGGAAACGAACTTGGTAGTCCATTTGAGGAAAAGACAAAACTTTTAGACGAACAAAAGAAAAGATCCATGGTCAGATCAGATCTCCGTTAGGAGATTGCGAGCGTTACATGTTTCTCTGAGAAGGTCAGAATAAAAGAAGGCAAGAGGCGGAGCCTGCGCGCTCCCTTTATCCCCTTGGCGAAATCCATCCCCTTCCCGTTGGCTTGAGCCAATCGGGGCGATGGACGTTGCGCGGGAACTCTTGGTTTATTGTCCTTTGTTCTCATAGCACGCACTCCTCGTGGAAGGGGGTGTGTTCAATGAGGGTTTTATAGTAAAACAATTTGATCTTTATTGGCAGTAAAACAAATTAAAAATACACTTTACTTTACATCTCTATGAATATTCGAGTGTTTCATTCAATAAGCATTCTAGAGATGTCAAGGAACATTATGTTAAATCAAAGGAATATACACTTATGTTTAAAATGCATGAAGAAGGAATTTCCGATTTCTATTTACGCTGCGACCAACCAAAGATATTTCACTGTGACATGGAGGAAAACACACATGTATAAAAACCATTGAAAACATTTTGTTAAATGTCTTTAAACACCAAAAGTCCTTCTCTTTGTTTAGAGACATTCACACATTCCGATGTGTGTGGGAAGGGAAGGGCTTGTGTGTGTGTCCGTTTCGGAGGACTGTAGGTGGCAAATTGGCAAAGTCCTTACATAGGTGTAACATTTAATATTTACATTTAACTATTTAAAATATCTCTAAGTTGCCACATGTAAATGTGCTAAAAAGTAATCGTCAAAAAATCATAACAGTTTTTTTTTTAAATAGTTTGAAGCTAAATATGACAAAACATTGCTGTAATTTTCAGCGTGAGCCGATTTACAAATGGCGTCCCATACTTTTCTGGTGCTCAGATGTAACGGAGGCCAGCTAGTAGTTGCTGTGCGAGTAAACCTCACTCCCCGATCTCAATAGGCGCTCTAGCGACAGATGCTAGAGGCTGCAGTCTTTAGCCTCCTTGTTAGAGCGCCCGACTCTCACGCCGGAGACCCGGGTTCGAGGCCCGCTCGGAGCGGGTCGAGTTGGACCCGGGTGTGAGGGGTTACATTGGTGCCGTGACCCGGATGAGAGTGAGGTTTAGGGGGGTGAGTGTAACGGAGGCCAGCTAGTAGTTGCTGTGCGAGTAAACCTCACTCCCCGATCTCAATAGGCGCTCTAGCGACAGATGCTAGAGGCTAGGGATCGACCGATATGGATTTTTTAGTGCCGATACCGATACCGATTTTTTTCCCATCAGCCTTAGCCGATGACCGATACAGGCTGCCGATTTTCTTGAGCCGATATTTGGAGCCGATACATTTTGCTCCCTCAATTTACATCTTAAAAATAACATGATGTTAACAAATGTTACAGGTCTCAATTTGATAAAAGTAACATTTAACTAACTTCAAAAATTAATATTTAACAAATAGTAAAAACATGTGAGGTAGAACAAGAACAAGTAGATAAACAATTTAAAAAATATTAAAAACATGAAGTAGAACAAAAAAAGTTCAGTGCTGAAAATTAATATTTAAGCATAAATTAAATAATTACACTATTGCACACAGTAGCAACCAGCATAATAAAGTGCACAGTGCACACTGTACTTCATTTTAAAAGAAACGAACTATATACTGCATGGTTTCAATTTTCCTACATAAAATAAAATGAGCATGTCTAGTCTCTAATATTACTGCGATTGCGAGGGAGACAAACTCCACACGCCCCAAACCTCAGCCAGGTGAGCGCTGAATAAATCTCCCACAAAAAGCACAGAATAACGTTGGCATTCCTTAATCCTATGACCAGAGTTCGTTACCGTATGCATACTAGGGCTGTCAAAATTGCTCAAATGGCGTTTGCAAATTCCCTCTAAAAAACATATTCGAACATCCCGTTGCGCGTTTTGTTGTTGACGCGCATTACATCAATAACAGGACACATTAATAAAAAGAGACATAACTACTAGTATTAGATGGTTTATTTGAGTTTAAACATATTTGACAACGTATTAAAAAGCAAGTAAATCAACTAATGGCCAAGACCGCAGAGCTCACTCTGTCTCGCCCTGGACTCGCTCAGGCACTCTCTCTCTCTCTCTCGCCCTCACGGTCTCTGCGCGTCGGTTAAATGAACAACAAACAAATGTTGAGTTCTGATTAAGAGTTTTGTGCAAGCAATTTAAGGTTGCGAGTCGCGACTCTTGTCCCAAATATAGCAGGCTTCAGTTCATTCAGTGATTGAAGTTTCACAGTATAGAACCGACAGTGAGCGCTCCGAGCGAGCTGTGCAGCTGTGGTAACGTTATTAGTCTGCAACCGCGGGCGTGTTTTTCCACATTCAAATATTAATTTTCACCTTCAAAATTAATAGATATTCGAATAGAATATTCATAGACAGTCCTAATGCATACTGAACGGATAACCTACACCTTAACTATTTGCAGCTTCTTAATACAATGGCAAGCAGTTAAGTTTTATAGACGAGGCATTCGCGTTTTCCATTTGGACCCACAAACTTGTTTAGTTGCAAGCACATAACAGTTATAGAGCGACGTGTTTCCATTTTCAAAGTGTTTGACAATATTTCAGGAGTCAAACATTTAAAAGATCCTTTGAAAGTTTAAGTTACCATTCTCGTGAAGAGCAGGTTGCACTCTGCTAGTGGAGGAGGGCGGGGCATGTGAACTGCAGCATCTCCAGCAGCACGGAGCTGCCCGTGGCCGCCTGTCTATAAATAACGGCGGGAAAAAAAAAAAACTATCGGCGAACGCGCAGCGGTGTATCGGCCGATTCCGATACACGTAAAAACCTCAAATATCGGCCGGCTGATATATCGGTCGATCACTACTAGAGGCTGCAGTCTTTAGCCTCCTTGTTAGCGCGCCTGACTCTCATGCCGGAGACCTGGGTTCGAGGCCCGCTCGGAGCGGGTCGAGTTGGACTCGGGTGTGAGGGGTTACATTGGTGCCGTGACCCGGATGAGAGTGAGGTTTAAGGGGTGAGTGTAACGGAGGCCAGCTAGTAGTTGCTGTGCGAGTAAACCTCACTCCCCGATCTCAATAGGTGCTCTAGCGACAGATGCTAGAGGCTGCAGTCTTTAGCCTCCTTGTTAGAGCGCCCGACTCTCACGCCGGAGACCCGGGTTCGAGGGTCGAGTTGGACTCGGGTGTGAGGGGTTACACAGACATCAGTGGATTCGTCAGAGATATTCTTTTAGTTTTAGCTGGAATTTGTTACACTTTAGATAAAACCAGAGCCAAGAATGACCTGAATATTATTTACATTACAGAGACTGACGTCATCGACAGCAAAGAATCATGCAATGTAAGTAATTATTGTTGCACACAGTGTTTTTAGTGTAAAAAGTACAAGCATTGATGATACCTAACAGTACAATATTTTGTATTTATAAAATGATTATTATAATTATTATTGACAGCGAGAAAGATTGTCCTTATTGGAAAAACAGGAGATGGCAAAAGCAGTGCCGGGAATACGATTCTCTCAAAACAAGTATTCATCACTGAAGCTAATTCTGTTACTGCTAAATGTGAAAGTAGAGATGGTTTGGTCCATGGAAGAAAGATCACCGTTATTGACACACCTGGATTCTTTGACACAGATCGTAAAGATGAGGAGATCAAATCTGAGATCATCAAATCTCTCATTGAATGCGCTCCTGGTGTCCATGCCTTTCTCCTTGTTCTAAGGGTTGGAAGATACACGAGACAAGAAAAAGAGGTGGTACAACAATTTCTGAATACAATGAAAGGGGAACATGTCCTGAAACACACAGTGATCTTATTTACTCATGGTGATCAACTAGATAGACACACCATTAAAACATTTGTGAAGACCAATCCACAACTTCAGGAGCTGGTTGATAAATGTGGAGGACGCTGTCATGTCATCGACAACGAATACTGGAAAGACTGTGATTCAGGGTACAAGAGCAACAGAGTTCAGGTGAAGAATCTGCTGGACACCATCGACAAGATGGAGAAAGAGAACGGCTGCTTGTCCAATGAGCTGCTCAAAAAGCTGGAAGAAGACATTCAAGTGGAGATTAAGAATAATGAGGACAATCTGCCTCCAGAAGAGAAGCGAGAAAAAGCAAAGGAAATTGTTCATAAAAATCTTTGTATGCAATTTGCTGGAGCAACAACAGGGATGCTGATTGGTGCTTTACTGGGTGTAGGTGTTGCAGTGACCGCAGTTCTGGCTTTATTAAAAGCATTTTGCCCAGCGCTAAAAGCAGGAGCAGCAGCAGTTAAGGCAGCAGCAGTTAAGGCAGCAGCAGGAGCAGGAGCAGCAGCAGGAGCAGCTGAGGCAGTGGCAGAAGGGGCAGCAGCAATTGAGGAAATGGCAGCAGCAGGAGAAGCAGTAGTTGAGGCAGTGGCAGCAGGAGGAAAAGCAGCAGTTATGGTAGTGGCAGCAGCAGGAGGAGCAGCAGCAGCAGCAGCAGGAGGAGGAGGAGCAGCAGTTGAGGCAGTGGCAGTAGGAGCAGCAGCAGGAGGAGGAGCAGCAGCAGGAGGAGGAGCAGCAGGAGGAGCAGCAGCAGTTGAGGCAGTGGCAGTAGGAGGAGGAGCAGCAGCAGGAGGAGGAGCAGCAGCAGTTGAGGCAGTGGCAGTAGGAGCAGCAGCAGCAGTTGAGGCAGTGGCAGTAGGAGGAGGAGCAGCAGGAGCAGCAGCAGGAGGAGCTGCAGCAGTTGAGGCAGTGGCAGTAGGAGGAGGAGCAGCAGGAGCAGCAGCAGGAGGAGCTGCAGCAGTTGAGGCAGTGGCAGTAGGAGGAGGAGCAGCAGCAGTGGAAACAGGAGCAGCAGCTGGTGCAGTGGTCGGTGTTAAAGCCTTTGCTGCAGGTGTTTTCGGAGTTGCAGCTCTTGCAGGAGCCGTTGGTGGAGGAGTCACTGGATGGAAAGCTGCAGAAGAAGCTGATTCAGTGTATGACGCAATGACCAAAGCTGCAAAGCTGAACTACGAGAATGCAACAGTTGTGGTTGAGAAGATACAAGAATTTGTCAAATCCATTGGTAAATAATACACTTGGGAAAAAAATAAAAAGGATATTAATTTTTTTTTTTTTATTCAGATATATTCAGTAATACCAATTTTCAATTATACTTCACAGTAAACGCCTGCGATATTTTATGCCCTGATACATGATTATCCAACTGTATTTTTCTATACATTTCTGAAATGCACTTTCTGTAAAGCTGTTTTTGAAACAATATGTGTTGTGAAAAGCGCTATACAAATAAATTTGAATTTGAATTTGAATGTATTTACTTGTGTCCACATTAAACGCTTGGAAAACTACGTAGAAAAAAAAATTGCTATTAAGATTAATTTAGACCAGCACACTGGGTTGTTAATTATTAAACTGTGTTGCAGTCACACATTAACTTCCCTGTACATGTATAATGCAAATATGGGCTGTTTTTTTTTTTTTTTTTTTTTAAATCATTAGTGCTAAACTTGCCCTGCTTTTTATCTTATCTTTCTCAATTATTTGAAAAGTGTCCGTTTATTCTCTCTATTGCCACCATGCTGCAGCTCATTCAGAGCAATTGAAAGTTGGTAGCAGATGAATTCAAGTGAAACGTAGTTAAAGTAATTCACAATACTGAAATTACTGAAATTAAATTGAATAAATAATGAAAACATTTCAACATAAAACATTTCAATAGAAACATATTGAGGCTGCATCAATGAGGGTTTGTGAGAGCATAAGACGTTCGCTTTAACAGCATTCAGACGGTAGTTCAGTGGTCAACGCAACGACATGAGCTTCAAGTGACCCTAGATCAAATCTCAATGTAGCAAACATGCTGTTAACCGATGTTGGCCGACAGCGTTTATATTTTAGCGTTCTTGATGCTTAAATAGGTAACTGTTTATTAGTAAGTTTTTTAACTGTTTATTTATTTAAAGTCAAGAGTTCTGTTTAATTATCCATGGCAGATTACAACATAAATTTCCTACATTCCTGTAGAGCTGTTGCACAGACGACAAAACTAGAACAGGCGAAGATAACTTTGAATGAACAGCTTTAGCTGTAATAATAATGAATACCTTTACATATATAGAGATGTTGACGTTCTGAGAGATTGAACTTGCTCTGTTTCAGGTCTTGTGGGTTCATATTCAAGTTCATGGATAATAACTTTTCTTACTTTTCAAAAAAAGTTTGAGTATAATTTTATTTAGTGAATGAGATCGGTATTGGAAGCACAGTTTTATTTACTCTTCACAGTTCCGGGAAGTTCATGCAGTCAGGCACGGATTAAACCACGGGCCAACTGGGCACTTGCCCAGGGCACTGGGCCAACAGGAGGACATCTAGAGGCCAAAAGTTGTCAAAACGCAGAACATCTAACAGAACATAGGCTAAGTTTTTTTATGTTTTACATAAGTAGACTATGGGCTCATTTTTTTTAATTAAATGTCAATCCTCATCTTTATAACAGAAGATAAAAACTTCAAATTTGGAACACCGACCTTGATGGGGTGATTTCTGACCGACCTTGATGGGGTGATTGAACAAGAATCTAGCTCAGGGGTCTCCAACCTTTTTGTGAGTGAGGGCTCCCTGAAGGAATAAAATAGTCTAGAGGGCTACCTGTTTGATATAGGCACACGCGCACACACACACGTTTCAAGTTTTGAAAAATAGAACAACAAACAGTAATAAAATAAACAAACACTGTGGCACTTTTTTCACACAAATATGTCGAAGTAATGAAATGAATATTGACATCATTGTAAATAATTTCTCACAAGCATTTTAAATCATTTTAAATTATTTGATTATTTTTATTCATCAATCAATCAATCTTATTTATTGGAATTTATATAAAAAAATTACAATTATAATTGTATTTATAATTTTCTCTCTAGATCCCATCACACTGAACACATTTAAACACAATTTTAATACAAAATGTCAAGAGTTATTTGTCACACTTACAACAATAAATAGGCCAAATCAGCCTGCTTTTACGGGCAAAAAACAACAACCTTTTAATGGGAAGCTTGGCATTGCATAACGTCCACAAGTGCCCTATAATCGGGAGTATAACCCGAAACTGTTACTCTAATTGAGTCCTCCAAATGTCCATCAGTAAGGCGTGTTCTGTGTTTGTTCTTAATAAAATTCATATCTGAAAATGCAGATTCACACCGGTAAGTTGAGCCAAAAAGACAGGCAACTTTCATCGCTGCTGTGGAAATGTTAATGTATTTCTCTGGGTCAACAAGTTTCCAAAAGTCTGCTGCCCCCTGATGGGCTTTGAGGTTAATGTCACTTTGCAGAGTGAGAATATCCATCTCAACCTCACTAGAAACCAGGTTAAACCGCATCACTTAGTTTTTCAGAAATGTGCAAAATGTCCACTTGCATGAACAGATTTGCAATGAATGACATGCATGGTTCCAGACTGTCAAAGTCATTAAGTCTGTCCTCAAATTCTTGTCCAAGCCTTTTCAGGAGTTCAAAGTAATTGTGTAATGCTCTGTCAAAGACCTCAGATGCAGAATCGTTGTTACTTAGGATCGACTGCATGGATGGAAAGTGATGCAATTTCTTCCTCTGCAAGTGCGTGGAGAAAAGGCTGATCTTGGCTTTGAAAGCATTTACAGCACTGATCATCTCACTGATTGTCTTACCTTTGCCTTGCAGTTCACAGTTCAAATTGTTCAGTTTCACAGTGATGTCAGTTAGGAAGGCAAGGTCCAGTAGCCACTCAGTGTCCTGAAGCATGGAGGTGTCCTCCCCTCTGGATTCCATGAACACTTTGATTTCACACAAAAGTGACAAAAAACGTTGCAAAATCCTTCCTCTGCTCAGCCATCGAATTTCTGTGTGAAGCAATAGGTCACCATATTCAGCTGACAGCTCCTCCAGAAGTACCTTGAATGACCTGTGCTGTTTCGCTTTGGACCGGATGCTGTTAATGATTTTAACGACTGGAGTCATGACGTGATCAAATCCCATCACTTTGGCGCACACTGCCTGTTGGTGTATAATGCAGTGGTAATGAAGAAACTTTGGGAAATCTGGGTCTCCTCTGCATAGCGCAACGAAGCCTGCATGCTGGCCAGTCATTGCAGGGGCACCATCAGTTGTTACCGATACCAACTTTTCAACTGGCACGTTCTTTTCCACGAAGTTCTTCACCGCATCATAAATATCAACACCCCTCGTTGTTGTCTTGAGGGGAAGTAATGTTAAAAATTCCTCTTTCACTGACAAATCACTGAATACCATTCTGATGAAAACCATGAGTTGTGCTGTACTACTAGAATCCACAGATTCATCACACTGAACAGAGATGGGCAGTATTTCAATTACAAAATACTCAAAAGTAATTAAATACGTATTTCAAATACATGTAATTTGTATTTTCCTTAAAAAAAACAATCAAATGCTTTGCGCATCTCTTCAGTAAAGCCGGTTTTCTTAATTAGTAGTAAATCACCTTCACCTGCTTTCAGATGAAAGATATGATGGAGATATGAGTGTTAAATTAACCCTCAAGAGTGTTAAAGTTAATGAGACAATTAAGTGAATAATTTAGTGATGATTGAGCATTATTGATGACACCTGATGATCACAAGCAGAATCACTGAAGGAGAAAATCACAAATTGTAAGCCACCGTTATGGAGATCAGTGTTTGCTTTAGTTGGCATCTTGACACTTAAGGGTTCTCTAATGCTACGTTCACACCGGACGCGAATCGCGTGTCAAATTCGCGCCTGACGCGTCTAGTTTGACGCTTGACCACTAGTGTTATAATTCGCGTGTCAAGAGCGAAACTGGCGCGCGTAAAGTTTGAAGCGAAATTTACGCGCGTGACGCGCATCAGAATCAAAATCCGTTGGCGGCCATTGTTTTTATGTCGACCGAGCATTCATCAAGAGAGTTACCGCTCTGTATTTACTCTGGAGAGCAGAACAGCGACGTGGGGATCATCGTCGCCGTATATTTGTGTCCACCGGACCCTTCGGAGCCGAACCGTTTGGCGAGTTTTACCATTTGCTCACTCCAGGAGCTGCGCTGGATGACGGCCGCTGTCAGCGGTACTTCCGCCTGTCACGCGCCCAGTTTGATGACCTGTTGTCCCGCATCTGAGCGAGGATCACCCTCGCCCTCATCCATCTAATCTAGCTGTCATTTATTTTTGTTTTGATAATAAATAGAGCCAGCCTTCAAAAGTTATTAACCTGTCCTGTGATTTTTTTTCTCTCTCTCACGTCCAGACACGAATTTATGCACATATGTTGATTGTCTTTACAACATAATACTATTTCTAGATATGGAATGAATAACATTCAATACAAAATGAACATGTCTCCTATATAGAAATAATGTTTTAAGTGATGAAACATTTGCTTTGTTGTGCATAATCCCACCATGCATTTAGTCATATTAACAAAATAATTTATTGAAGCATCCAGACACTTCACCACGTGAGCAAGCAGCTAGGCTCCTGATTGGTTAACGCGGCGCGAATTCACGCCAAAGTTCAGATTTTTCAACTCGGGCGGCAGACGCGAATTTGCGTCAAACGCGTGAATGCACAACGCTCAATTCGCGCCAACTTGACGCGCGAATGAGGCGTATTCGCGTCTTCCGCGCCGCGCTCCACGCCTCATTCGCGCCGCAGGAATTTTTCACGCGCGTAAAGCGCCTTTGCATTGACTTAACATTGAAATCATTCGCGCCTGACGCCCTATTCGCGTCCGGTGTGAACGTAGCATAAGCGATGCTGGGCCAAAACATTTTTTGTCACATACATCAGCGTCTCCTCACTATCGGCTAGCTGCCTGTCCCCTAAACACATTGTAAAAAAACGCGGTCTCTGTAGACACCACAGGCTCCACAAACGGCAACAAAAACAATCATGTCTTATCCGGACCACGAAACCTAACAAACAGTGTTCCAGCCAATCACTGGCAAGAAGTATTTGAGGGTGGGTCTGGGGGGTTAGTGCGCGTGCACATGAAGGGGGTGTGTGTGTGAAGGAGAGCAGCGAACC